GCCCATCGATCTCCGCCGTGAAAATCTCACCATCCGCCTTCATCTTCGCGAGGTATAAATACATGACTTATCACGAACATGGTTTAAGTTTGACGAAAGGTCAAGCTGATAAACTACAGGGGGCGGCTAAGAAAGGTTGTTCGGTCTCCATTCGTTTGTCCGACGCAAACCTTCATGAACACAAGATGTTGCTCACCACCCGCCAGGTTCAAAAGATCGCCAAGCTCCTACAGATGGGTACTGGTGGCATGATCCTAGAGTTGAGTGCGACCCAATTGAGGGAAAACATGCAGAAGGTGGGTGGCTTCCTACCCATGCTGGCAAGGCTTGCAATGAGGGCACATCCCATGTTAGCAAACCCATTCTTGGGTGTTGGATCCTTGAGTAGTCTGGGTGGTGTATCCGTCAACAAGACCTTAGGGTCTGGATTGTACCTGAAACGTGGTGGATGCGTTTGCACAGTGAAACCTAGTGCCAACAGTCTCTACCTCAAACCCTCAAACGCCCGGATCACCTATGGTGATGTACTCTACTTAAAGCGTGGTCAGCAATTCCACGACGAAGCCGGTCTGATCTTAGGTGCTAACAGCCCCTTCAAAAATATTCCCCTCCTCGGTATGCTCCAATAAATAAATGGATGATTTAGATTCTGGATACCGACAGACCAGAGTCGAATGTATGGAAGACCAACTCAACGCGGATATTCATAAGTATCAACGTACCTTGAAGATCTACAAACGTCTGGACAAAGTTGTATCTGCAGCAACGGGTGCTTGTTCTGTGAGCAGTTTGGTGTTAACCAGCTGCACCATGGGTTCAGCTTTGACCGGTATAGGTATTATAGCCTCCCTTCCCCTAGGATCCCTAGCTTGCTTGAGTGCCACTGCCGTGATGGTACTCACACTGATCTCATGGCGTATCATGAAAAAGAAGAAAAAACACCGTGACACCTTGCGATTGGTGCAGTCCACAAAATCCTTGGTTGAACAATGTATTAGTACTGCTTTGGCTGATGATGGACAAATTGATGATGCGGAGTTTGGAAAGATCGCAACCTGCCTCAAAAACTACTATGATGAGAAAGATCAGCTGCGACAACCTGCCACCACTTTTAGTGAGGACCTTAATGCGCATGCGCCGTAAAAAACGTCACACATTTTTCCGTTACGCTTCACTACACACTTCGTGTTCCATTCTGCTTCACTTCACAATGTGCTCCATTTCAAGCATAAAAAAAAACTTTCCAATCCGGCAGAAATGTCGGATTGGAAAATTTTTTTTGTACCCCACCCGCCCCATTATTTTATTTTTTTTGACTTACTTTCTCACAAGGTTGCAAGAAAATTACTCCTGCTTGGTCTTTTTCCTCTAAGCCTGTTCTTCTCACGAAGGCTCCTTCCAAGGGTTCCTTCTGTCTGTTCAGTATACTGCAGGCCCACACCCTTGTCGTTTCTCCTTCTCTGTTTTTCAAGGTGAGGATCTTACTCCTCCCAAACTTCCCATCTACTTCTACCACTTCCAGGATTTTATAAATCACTCCGATTGGGAGTTCCTTCCATTTCAGGGTTTCCAGGCTCTGGTCCTTTGCCTTTTCCTCGAAAACATTATCGTTGTTAAAATCGTTGTCTGCGATTTTTTGACTTCTGAGTTCCTTCATCTTTTGTGCGAAAGCCATATTTTGTTTCTACCCTAGGATTACATCCCCTTTAAGGTGTCTCTACCATTGATTACAAAAAAAAGCCCTATTCTTGTTTCTTCCCTAAGACTAATTGGGATGCTGGTCCGTTTACATTGTAAAAAATCTACAGTTGGATTTGTGCTAGATTTCCCCTTGAAAATGGAAAGTGCCGCAGAATCGGCCTTTTTACACTACTCACAAACAGGGTGAACTTTCAAGATGATTGCCGGTTAATATGCTAGATATGTTCTATATACCCCAGATGTTTTCCAGCGTTTGAATTGGGCAACTTGCTATTCAACAGAAGCCAATTGCCTCAATGGGATATGGAGTGACATGACAACAGAAAAGACTGTCATTAAGGACACCAAAGGATGTGATGGTATTGTTAATATTACAAGACATAATCCTCTTTTGATACAGTGGTCCATTACTCTCCACAATGAAGCTGATTTCAGTTCTAAGATAAAAGAAAATAGTTTTTCTGCTGTGTCTAACAAACGATTCATGATGAGGCAAAACAAACATCTACGAAAAAAGACGAGGATCATCTGAAACCTAGTGTAGATCATATGCAGCAGAGAATGATAGACCCCTTTGACTCCTCACTGCATCCAAACCCCCTTATCAACATATCGACAGAAATGCATGCACCAAGAGATATTGAATCATTCTTGATGATCGATACATTAGACGATGGTGTCAAAATGGCAAAAACTCCCTCAGGCAAAGTTGACCTTAGATGGATTTGGCTATTTGTTTTAGTTATTTTTGTCAAATAGCTCTTCAACTGTTTCGGTACTTATACATCCCTCGGATTTCAAATGTTTGGATTTGAGCGTTCCTGATGAAGGTAAATCCAGAAAAGCGCTTCGGACGCATGAAATTATAAAACGTGTTGTTTTCAATTTTTTATTGACAGTACTCTCTCAAGGGACCTAAATGGAAACTTTTATGGCCCGATTATTCGTTCAAAGTTATAGATTTCAAAAAAATCATCGAAAGTCACATCACTTCTGAGTTGGTCTTTTTTTTCTATTTTTAAGAATTATTTGGTACACATGAGGAAGCGGATACTCGAAAATTTTAAATGCTTTTTATGCAGAAAGGCTCTAGGCTAGGTGTGAAAGGAATAAAGGGTATGCTATTATAAAGTCTCCAGATACAGATACAGATGTATTGATCCTATGCGTTCATTACTTCCACTCAACTTCACACACATGAGCTATAGTTTTGGACTGGCACTATCACCTGCACACAAAACTTGCGCCACTTGATACCTGTCCACAAAATATGTAATATTCTTGGGCCTGTTATCTGTAACATCTTCTAGCCACACATGTTGTAACAGGATGTGATACAACTTTATCCCTGTTTGGGATTGGTAACTGTACTGTTTTCAAAGTCTTGAAAGACAACCCCGGACATTTTTTTAACGATTTGTCAAACCTTTTGAACTGTAGACGCAGCTTGAAATCTTATTGCCAGGTTATATTATCTAAAATCAGACTCAAAACTGATCATAGTGACTTACACAATTTGACTACAATTAAAAATCCTCCTTTGGCAAACTGCCTCCGTGAGAAACCACTTTTAAACAACATCTTGTGAGAGCTTCACTCCAAAACGATATGTCGAAATGTCAATACATATCTGCTTGCAGCGAGAAACACTGAATTCAACAAAGATGACGATGTATAAGATTTGAATTGTCAGTTAGTAACTTATTAATTATTGGTAGCGGTCGAATGGAAATTTAGCAGTCATAAGTATATTCTGTGGTGTTTTTATTGGGGCACCACCTTTCATTTTACTTTTGAAAGTGTTGTACAGCATATTAACAAAACAAACTGTAAAACTGTAAAAAAAAAAATCATTGAAAAGGGCTTGACTCATAAGCTCTGCTTTAAGGTAGATTCACTGAATACCACCAATTTGGATTGTAAACTAGCAGTGCACAATCGGTCCAGTTCTTTTGCTTAAATCTGTAAATGTTGTAACAGACTGGAAATTAATGTGTAAGACTAGGTTTTTTTTTTAAAAAAAATAAGTGGTGTATTGCATTATTTTTTAACAAATACCAAATATATGTTTTTGTTTCAATCAATTTTTTTAAGTCAAAAATTTAAGGGGAGATAACTCTAATAGTTAAATTTTAATAAAGGAATGTTTAATGAAGATATTTTCATTTTTTAATTGAAGCATGAAGACAAGTTCGGTGTCACTATTTTTTCTTTTTTTTTTCTTAAAGCATATTATAAAACCTATCTTCAAATGTCTGTCTCATAGATTTCTTTTTATTCACAAAAAAGTGCTTTCCATGAATAATCAATAAAAAATTAGGCATAACTTGCAGCTTGAAAAAGAGCACGACGACCCATACTTTTTATTATATTTATGGAAAAGGCATGGTAAAGTCTACATCTTGGCAAAGTAAAAGAAAATTCTATCTGAGAAATAGATACCGATGATCCAAATTAATAACAAAACATCTACCAATATAAGCATTGTTTCGGAAAGGATGAGCATTCTTTGAAATCCGATTATTATTCTACTTGTATTTGTATTTTTGGTTTCCTTCGTACAGGTTTAACAAATGTATACCATTACCATCTATGTATAACTATAAAATTATGAATATGAAACTGTATTACAATTTCTTAAGCGACTTGAGTAAAATAAGACTACAACTTTTATTGCTGTACTAATGACTATATTTTTAACCTGTATATCTTTCCTTACAAAACATCATCTCTTTTTATCATTGTAAATAATAATCACTCAAACAGACGTGGTTCAAATGGCTGCCAACGGAAGGTATTATGTTTTTACTTTTAACCTCTGCAAACTATTGTATATATGCACATCAAAAAAATATGATAAAAAAAAATTGAAATTCTTAAAATGTACTGAAATAAATAATAGTGCTGAGCAATAACTGATAGGCGAACGAATGGGATTAAAACTTGACTTGTAATTGCAAGCAATAATATATGTCATTATAATTCCTTGGTAGTGACAGTCATTTTGTATTTTTTAAACTATCGCCGCATATATATGCATTACAATTTAAATTTCTATAAAATGTCATTTTAGTTAGGAACATTTTTGAATTTTGCACATCATTTTGTTTCCATGGCAACATGAGTCATTGTGAAAAGTCTAAAGTAAGGTGAATTCAGATGAAGATCTTCACCTGATATCAATCTTTATATTGATCAGGTTCATATCTTAGAAGTAAATCGACCAAAATCTACGACGGAGAAGACGAATCGTACATAAACAATTCTTATATTTATTTGATATTCATATTCTTTTGCAGGGTTGTTCGTGTTGATAGTGACACATGGCCTATTGAATGATCAACAACACAATCAAGTTCTGTAGAAGAAAACTGTTCTTTTATCTTTAGTATTTTTAATTATTGTTGTTGGGCTGTAAGTGCTTTAAAAAGTAAAATAACAGAAATACCGAACTCCAACGGAAATTGAAACTGGTTTAATAGCTAGCTAAACCTCTCAATTTGTATGACAGTCACATATTATTCACTTATAGCATATCACTCTAATAGGTTATGATAACGTTACAAATCTAAGCTAAGAATATTTTCACTTTGGTGCCTTCCGGCTGTTTTGTTTGAACAACATTGGAGACTGTATCAGTAGAATTTTCGAACAGCTCTAGAAGAATTTAATTATTAATGTTAGTATTGCAGTTGCAGAATAAATAATGCTCTTCAACTTTGTCCTTTTATTTTGGCCTTTTTAACCTTTTTGATTTAAGCGTACTTGATGGGTCTTTTATAGAAGTAACGCTCGTCTGGCGTACAAAAATTTTAATCCTGATATCTATGACGAGTTTATCATAACATTCTCTATCAGTATGACGGTACAATTGTTCATTGCAATCTCACAGCTACTTTAGTACAAGTAATCTTGATGTACAGTTCTTAAGATGCATATCAACTGTACATCCGTAAAATTGTATATAAACTGTACAGCTGTAAAGCTGTATATAAACTGTACATCTGTAAATCTGTATATTAACTGTACAGCTGTAAAGCTGTATATAAACTGTATATCTGTAAAGCTGTATATAAACTGTACATCTGTAAAGCTGTATATAAACTGTACATCTGTAAAACTGTATATAAACTGTTGATAGATATTGTATCCCACAAGATGCAGTGGTAGAATCTATATGTTAAGCGTATACACATATTTAAACATGTACATTTTTAAAGAGTTGCAGTTTATATACAGCTTTACAGATGTACAGTTTATATACAGCTTCAAAGATGTACATTTGATATGCATCTTTAGAACTGTACATCAAGACTACTTGTACTATTATATGTCAAAGTACGGCCTTCAACAAGGAGTCCATTAAAAGCAGACAACGCTATTATCAAAAATAAAAACGCCGACAACAAACTGAACAATCAACATAAAACAGGAAACTACAGATTTGGTAACATGAACCCCAATCTTAAATGATATTCACCGTTCGATTCAGGTATATTTGGACTTGAGTAGTTTCAGCTGTTTTGTTGACGTATATTTAGCCATTGATAGTCTCAATTGTAAATTGCGAGCATTTTTGATAGCAAATAATTTCAGTTATGATATTCAGGTGTAATTTCTCATTAAAAGGTTGCAAAAAGAATTAGACGTCAAGCAATATAAAAACAAAATTTTTGTATGTATTACCATAAGCAAAAGACCCCCCCCACCCCCCCCCCCCCCCCCCAAAAAAGAAAGCAAACATAATACAAAATACTATGAGTGAGCGATCCCTTAAATACTGCGTTTGAAGAAGGACTTCAGGATCTGAAGCATCACGAGTAGTTTTTTGGTCTACAATCACACTTTTGGCATTTTTATCCTATCAAACATATTTGTCGGGAACATAGGATTTGTTATAGCGGAACAACTGGGAGATATTCAGAGCATATCAGGCCTTATATAGAAAGTTCACAATAGGAAAATGTATACATATAGGAACTTAAAGTAGATAGAGAACATGATAGTTCATTTCCTTGAAAACTATCTTTATAACATGTCCTTGTACGAATGGAGAACATGTTAGATAGATTAGAATTCCGAATATCTTTTTTAGTAAAAATCAAACAAAAGTCGACGGCAATCAATGACCTATTCAAGTATCATAATGATGCCAGTTTCAAAGACTATACGAATGGAATTTTGGTCCTTCATAGAACACGATATTGGTTTCAACACAGGTTATTTTCATTACAACAAAGTTGAACCAATTATGTACTATGTCTTCAAATTGGAATAGAGAACATTTATGTAAAGGTCGGACAAGTCAAATGTTTCAATACTTGTGTAAATGAGATTAAGGACGTTGATTGCATTTATTCTATAAGATCCTTTGATTGTTTAGAATCTGTAATTCGATATTGGTATAATTTACCTCAGATAATTTTGGCTATTCTTTTTTGCGATGATTTGTGTGATTTTCTATCACCTGTTCTGTCATATCGACTTGTATCTGACAAAAAAAATCAACTTTATTATAAAAGGTACACACGCTTATATTTTGTAAAAAGTACGATCGGTGAGCGTTTTTCAGGTATTGTTTGCTTCAATGGACACCTGAATGAAAAAGTATTTATTTTAAACTCAATTTACGATAGTTCTTCTAAAAATCTATTGTAATAATTCATCCTTCGGTGCATGCCAACAGCGTCAAATGTCATTGTAGAAAAGGCTGTCGTACCGATCTTGACGTTTTTATATAATAACAATAAGGATAGCCAAGACTGTTGTTAGCATTAATTTGTTTTGAGATATTATCTGTTGCTTTGATCAGAATTATATTTAACCTTATAAAGTCTTAATTGTTTTGGTCAGATGTGATTTTCAAATGATAGATTCGAATGTCTGGCTCATTGATGTTTTGTCTTAGTTCGGTTATACTATGCGCCATTTATTTAAGGCAGATGTTTAAAGTTCAATTTCCTAGACTAGAACGATGTTTTCATGAGCAGGTTTGTATATTCAAAATGTATTTACGACTTTTCAACGTCACTAAATTACGTCGCTCTTCTCCAGATTTCATTGCTCTTATAGAGGTCGAGACAGTTTCGCAAAAATGATTTAAATTCCATATTACATTTGAAATTCCTCATTTTAGTGGATCATGCAGAGTACTATTCAAAACGGGTTCACAAAGTGAATAATCCCATTTTCATAAATTGATTTTTTGGTGGAAATTCAATAATTTCAGAACTTTTTTTATGCCCCCGCCGACCCAACAAAAACTTGAAGTGAACTGAATTACTCTGGAAAGGTAATCAGTTTCTGCTACATATCCTTCCGAACTCTTGTTAAAATCCGATATGAAGTAATCGGTGATCAGGCTGCATGCCAACGCAGATTGCTAGAAAGATGAATAAAAGTAGCTGGTCCCAGCAAACACACGACATATTCACGGCGTTGGCTGAAGGTCGAATTAACGTCGTGATAACGTAAGTAAAAAAAAAACGTTATACACTGACGAGCATGTGACGTTGTGAGATAACGTTGGTACAACGTTGGTTGGAGGTAATAGTTATTAATGGAACGCCATCACTCCCTCATTAGAAGAAATGACTATGCCATGATGCAAATGTTGCTTACAGCATGTGAAAACACTTTTACTTCATATGAATACTTCATTACATGATGTGAATTCTTCATTACGTGATGTGGTTACTTCTTTACATGATGTGAAAACTTCATTGCGTAATTTGAAAACTTTATGTCCTATGATTTTATTTATTTTGGTTAATATATGAAATATAAGTTGAGTTAAAAGTAAAAAATACCATAATAAAACAATTGGGAACTAAACAGTGTTTTCCGCTTCACAGTTTCGAAAGAAGATGGAACTAATAAACAAAAATCCGTGAAATGTAGTTTAACTATCATAGCTTTTATTTCCCATTCTTTTACCACAGTTTGAACAAGTTAAGTTTTGGTAATCTTTTAAAAATTCATACCATATTTAACCCCATTGTTTATTGTTTATTGCATTTTTTATATTTATTCTTTGTAGTAAATTAAATCATTTCTTAAAAAAATAAAAAAATAAAATTAATGCAAATATAAAAAATATGTAAAACCATAATGAAATATAAAAGAAAACTATATATTATCTTAAAATATTTAGAAGAAGTAATTAATCATATATCAATCAGCTAATGATTGTCACGTGTCAGGTTATTGATTGTTCGATGTTTAACTGATGTATTCTGTCTTAGGGATAGGAGTGACTCTCGTATAAATGTTGTATTCTGTCTTAAGGATAGGAGTGACTCTCTGTTAACTGATGTATTCTGTCTTAGGGATAGGACTTACTCTCGCATTCCGTCTTAGGGATAGAAGTGACTCTCTGTTAACTGATGTATTCTGTCTTAGGGATAGGAGTGACATGTTTTAATTTGTTGTTGTTAAAATCGATGTCAGTGCCAATGAAAACAATATTCAAAGAGCTAAGTACACTGTCGTGAACGGCAATATTACGTAGAAATACAGTGTTTTGAGTCGCTTTTGACGTCAATATGAAGTCTTTTGAGTCTCTTTCATTGTATATAAATTGAATTTCTATCGAAAGCGTTAGTCGTGATCGGACTACCGTGGCACAAGGTTGCTTATAACCAAAAACCTAAATATATTATATACAGAGGCTCAACGACGCAGACCCGAGTCTTAAAGTCGCTAATCAAATAAGACATCAACATAGCTTTTCTTCAAAAAAGAAAAAAAATGGTCACAGTGATTCTTATATTATTCACTTGAAATACCAAAAGTATAGTAATAATTATTATTAAGTTCCAACGATTCTTTACATATTATGAATTTGAATCTTCTCAAAAGTACAGTAAAATCAGGCGTCGGAACTTGTACATTTGAAAAGTCGACATAGCTTATATAATTATAGAGATTTCTATATTTACTTGTGATTAAGATAGTTTATTTAAATACATGCGTATATAGTACTTGACCAGAGTTACTCACTAGCTTGCATACTATTAAAATGTTCTTCATTGTATGTTGATAAATTAAAAATTGTCTGGATTAAAATTGAGAATGGAAATGGGGAATGTGTCAAAGAGACAACAACCCGACCATAGAGCAGACAACAGCCGAAGGCCACCAATGGGTCTTCAATGCAGCGAGAAACTCCCGCACCCGGAGGCGTCCTACAGCTGGCCCCTAAACAAATATGTATACTAGTTCAGTGATAATGGACGTCATACTAAACTGCAACTTATACACAAGAAACTAAAATTAAAAATGATACAAGACTAACAAAGGCCAGAGGCTCCTGACTTGGGACAGGTGCAAAAATGCGGCGGGGTTAAACATGTTTTTTGAGATCTCAACCCTCCCCCTATACCTCTAGCCAATGTAGAAAAAACAAACGTACAACAGTACGCACAGTAAAACTCGGTTTAAGAGAAGTCCGAGTCCGATGTCAGAATAGGAAACAAAAGAAAATAAACAAAATGACAATAATACATAAATAACAACAGACTACTAGCAGTTACTGACATGCCAGCTCCAGACCTCAATTAAACTGATTGAAAGATTATGTCTTCATCATATGAATATCAGGCACAATCCCTCCTGTTAGGGGTTTAGTATTATACCGTCATAAAATATATGAGAAGAACATAACCGGTGTCATGCCAACAACTGGATTTAGAATAAATATGTTTAATTCCGATGCAAAGACCCTATAAGTGAATCAATATTAATACATATATATATAATACTTCATTAAATCATTAACTTTATACGAATTGTCTATTGAAACAACGCATCTTTAGTTATATCACTTGGATTAACTAACACTATGGGATAGAGTTGACCCAAGGGAGCAGTCATTGGAAAGAGTATATTGCGGATTATAAGTTTGTTTGACGGGTTGTATAGTTTTGCTAGTGCGTCGTATTTTCACTTCAGGGTAATAAAAACGCTATAGCAACACAGAGCAAAAACGTTACAGTATTTTAAAGGGGTATAGCTACGATTTAGACAAAATTTTAAAATACGAATCTTTTTGTTTCAAGTATCAATAAAAGCTGAATTTTGAAATAATATTTCGTTATAAGCAATTTGTGTGGACCCAAATTTATAAAAATAAGACCAAAAACATCGCTGATGCATTATTGACTTGCAAGTGAATAATTCGACCTCATGTGAATCCGTATTCATGTTGATTTCGATTTAACCCCTAAGCTAGAGATGGATTACGCATGTATTAGATGTATTCGGCTATTAAAATGAAAGGAATGTCAACATTGAAAGTGAAACAAGGGTGAACCATTTCGTTGACTGATTCGATCCACAAAAAATCATTCTTATACAGGTAAAAAGGATGATTAACTTATTTTTTTCAACCTATAACATGAAATCATACAGACCTAGAAAAAATTAAACTGCACGTTGTTGCTATCTATTTATATGTATATTTATGTTTATATCGGGTTATATGACCGTTGGCAATCTTCAGAGGTCATCTCGATGGTTAATGAAATGGCGTCTTGACTCAACTACAGACAAAATGCTGATATATATTGTCGAGCCCATGCATTGTCAATTGCTTATTTCAGACTTATTGTAATGTGTATATACGTTTTATTATGTTATAAACCAAATATGAGAATTTAAGTCAAATCGGTAACCATGAACTCGCCAGCTAATGTCCCTTTAAAGTGGTAGCGCCCAACACTTATATCATATGTGACGCACTGTTTCTTTCTTTTTTGTAATAAATTTAGCTGCACAACTCACATGCTGAAACCATAACATTATTTTTGTTTTATGAACTATCTTAAGTGTTGTGGTAGAAGGTTAAGATATACTATGTTCGGTTGAGGAAGCCAACGATAATTTGATACGTAAATTGTAAAAAAACTTCTTCAATAATTTGACGACGTGTTAACAATGATTAAAATTTTCCTCAATATGAAAAACGATTCTTTTCACAAAGGGCAGACTATCTTAAAATAATGTTTTGGATAACGATTTTTGTAATGAGATATTATTTTAAAATCATTTCCAATTAGGAAAACTCCACATTACAATATTGAGACTACAAACTCTAATACGCATCGACAAAGAAGTGTAAGTTGAAGGACGAATGTTATGAAAGAAATTAATCAATCGAGGCAACTCATTGAAACAAAAATAGAATATCATCGAGTGAAGACTTTTATAGTTGTATGCCTAAGTAAGATTTCACTCATTTATTTATTGCAATTTTACAATTTTACTACTTGGGTGAAATTAAAATAAAGAAATATAAATCACAATGAAAGATACAAAATCATAGACCATTGTGTGATTCTTTTATTATCAATGGCTTGCGGTAGAACGGTGGTTCACTAAACATGACAGATAAATCTAATTGAATAGATTAGAAACAGTCTCAGAAAAATGATTTTTATTCAGGCGAACTTTGTATATGTAAGAGAATGATAATCCCTTTCTTCATGATTAAGTACGAGCGTTAGCGAGTACTTATCATGAAGAAAGGGATTATCATCCTCATACAAACTTAGAATATTGTAAAGTGTTCAAGGCTTAAATGATCTCTTGATTGGTTGTATTTAAGAATTAGTTTCATTGTTAGTGCAATGTGTGTATTTAATGCATGACTTCCTTTTTAGGCATTTCATTTATGGATTAGTTTTGGTGATGTAAGGACTTTCTTATCGTTTTGGAAAATATAATAGATTGTGTTTTAGACATTAGATGACACAACTGACAACATGAATTGGTAAGAAATGTTTCCTGATTGTGAGAATGGATGTAAATCGTGTAATATTTTAGCGAGGAATTATCTTTTTGTTTATTTCCAGTTGAAATCAATTAATTCAAAATTTGAGTTATAACTAAATTTTATTTTACAGCCAATATTTTAGTCCAGTCTTTTACATCAAATACTACCTCATTATGTCAAGGAAATGTTCAAATACAATCATGCCGTTAAAAGTTTAAAATATATTCAAAAGTTAAACTAAATTCCTTTTTTTAGAATTTTTATCAGAATATTGGAAATTACTATTCTCACCAACCGCGGATCCAGTAATTGAATTTATATTTTTTTTTCTTTTTTTTTCTTCTTTTTTTTTGCATTGCTTTGATAAGATTTATTTTTTTCAGTAATTTGAATTTATTAATATTCTCATAATAACGTTAACGGTACCAATTTTACTGCACAAGTAAACTTCATCTTATTTTGATTTTTTTGTTTGTTTCAAAAATCAACTTTTAGACAGTTTTAATCACAAATTCTTTCAAGCTGATAAATGTGCTTCAGGGCATTTGTAACTCATTTATAGAAACTCTTTGTTTTGAACTGTAAGTAGGCCTTAACAATAGGATAATCCCTTACTAAGAACATGATTTTATTCATTCTTTACAATTAAGAAACACCAAATCCTACAATTACTTAGGCCGAGAGCACTTTGCTATATTCCAAACATTAATACATATTTAATTTGTAATTGGTTTGTTTTTCATCGATTCAAACCAAGCGAAAAAATTCTTATCTATTAATTAAATCGTTCACCAAGCGAATACTTGTGTCATAAGTTAAAAGAACGAATAAAATATTCTCAAAGCACCAACAGTCTCAATAAACGGGATTTGCGGACAAATGTCAACATCATGGAATATTTTACATTTATTTTGATATATTTGATGCTTGTCAACGTAATCGTGGTTTATCCCTAAAAAATTGACAATTTTATTGCTAGTAATCACAGACAAATTGAGACTGGTTCTTCAATCATCAAAGTGCGCTCTAAAACGGAATGCATTTCTTTTTGCATAAAACACAATGACTGTTGCTTTGCAAATTACCGGGATTCCACAAAAAAACGTAGTGTTGGAACAACGAACAGATGTCATGCAGCATCCATATACGCATATGGCTGGCAGTTACTTAGAAGAGGTAAGGAACTCACTCAAATAATGTAAATAAATGGTTTGATGAAAATATAAGATTTTCTTTCTTTTGCAATTTAAAACCTTAAAATAATTACTTCAATTGTCTTATCAATTCTAAAATTAATAAGAAACTAAACGTCCTACTCCGTCAGACATAGGTCATCTTAGATGAATTTGGTTAATATTATAAGGTCCATTTCGGTCAAAAAGCTCTCCACGTGTTTCACAGTCAGGATTCTACTTCGTCAAAATTATCTCCCCATTACGCCACCTAATTTTTATAACCGTAAAAATGGAAGCCATTGAAGTGATGACGCGCTGTCAATTTAGCTCTTGAAAACCGATAAATTTATCCACATAACATCATTACGATCCTTATATGCAAGTTGTATTTAAAAAAAAACCAAATGTATCTACTAGCTATTGAGCATCATTTAATGTACTCTTATGCATTTGGTCAACTTAACACGATGTCTGATCGTTGCCAGGGGGTATTTTCGAAAGTTCTAAAATTTTTCAAAGGTCGAAGACTAATTACCCTTGATAAAACACACAAAATTGAAGTTTTTTTTAAGTTATGCATTTTTAAGATCTTCTTGAAAAGTGTGTCGTCAAGTTCTTTTAGTAAAAATTTGTTATTCGAACACACCAACTCTGTTGTTATGACTCATTAGAAAGGTATTTCACTTTACCCATATATTTCATTTTTTAGTACTGTACATTTTTAATGTTATTATATCAACCTAAAGCCTAAATATATAAAAATAATAGAATCTGAAGGGAGATGATATATCAAATGTTTTTCTTTAATAAGTTTTCAAGACGGAATAGTCAACTCAAACACGCCTGAACATAAAAAGGTGTACTCGACTTTCTCTTTTCGATGAAATTATTGCTAATTTTGGGGATGTGTCCCCAAACAACTGTCGCCGGTGACAGAGAAGCAAATTAATGCTTTAAAAAAGATCAATCTATAATCTTTCTTTGGATTTTTTTTTGGCGGAATTTATTCTTATGCACAAAAAAGATCCACACGTATTTGCACCTACCACAATCGACTGTTTTTTGAAAATTTGTCCATAATTTAAAAGTTTACAAATATCTCGAAGCTCCATACAATAATTCAAGTAAAGACACATACATAAGATGCATTAAATCCAAAGTTAGGCACATTCATTAAACTTTTATAGCCCATAGAAACAGATGTAAACAATTCAAGTTTAGCAACTTGGCTTTTTTTTACCTTCTCTAACAAAGAGTTCCAATTCGATTGTTTAATTTCCACTGAGTTTCCTCCTGTTCAGTACTTATACATTCTTGGGTTTCTGATAATTTTCTGAAAAGCGCTTCAGACGCATACGACTTAATAAACTGTTAATTTGTTTTTTAAACAGTATATTAGGAATACAGCAATACTACCTTCAACGAAATGTAAAATAAATAAATAATTACATTATATAATGAATAATAATCCAATTACAAGTGACTATAGGAATGTTTAAATTTGCCTTATCCATTATTACTATAACTAGTAGTACAATTAGTATAAGTATTAATAGAAGTCTCTAGAAGTATTCCGCAAACCTTTAATGGTGTTTATTTTGATTCAAGCGTCTATGTTCTATGAAATGTTCTGACTGGGAAAACAGAAGTATTTTTTTCCTCCATAGATAATACTATTTTTTTCGAAATTATCTTCTTTTTATATATTTGATAATATAACTTATTTCTTAATACCAAGTTTACCTGCCAAAAAAAAAAAAAACATTTTCTCCAAAATTCCCCCAAAATTTTTTTTTAAACATTTTCCAAAAATAAAGATAAAATAAAAAAGGTAATATTTGACAATGCGCAGCAATATCAATGCAGTTCTTCATAGGGAGTTTTCAATTTTACACCCCGGTATAAAGATGAGTTAAAAACATTTTTTTGTTAAATTTTCGCAGTTTTTTTTATCTTGGCAAAATTTTATTCACGAGTGTAAATAGTTGTAGACATTGAAGTCAAATGATGGCATGATATAGTATCTATAACAACCATAATTTTATATCAAATCTATATAGAATTGGAAACCATTGTATTCTGTAGGAAAATATTTCCATGTGTCTGGAACACATTTCTGGATTAACCTTCATCAGGAAGGTTTAGACTTGAAAATTTAAAAGGGATGCATAAATATGTCAAAATATAGGTACCAAATTTTGGGGATTGAGGAAAAGTTGTATTTTTTGTGTATTTGATTTCGTGGTTATGCCAAAGTCTGCAAACAAGCCCATAACTTCGTTGGAAGTTAAAAATCAAGGTTCACCTTTAATCTCGAAATTCACGACAATTGGTTACCCATGAATAATAATGAATCCACGGTACCATTAACCGACCTAACATAAATAATAGCCAAATTCATCTAAGATCAACTTTGCACGAGATATTTCGAACCTTAACTTGTTATTCATAGATAAGTACAAATTGTTTTATACTCATAAATCCAATCACAATACTTAAAAGTTGACTTCCTTCACTTAAGCATTGTACACAAAAGGGCAAAATTATACCAGGAAAATAATATACTACTACTATCTTAACAGCTGTCTGTTGTAAAGAATGAATGTTTGTGTTAATTTAAATATTGTAGGGGTTGCGTGAACAAATTGTGTGATATACAATTGAAACGTTATTCTATGTTGCTTTATGGAATACATCAAATTCAGAAGAAGGTCTCACGAACACTTTGCAGGATAAATTGTTTTGTACTGTTATGTCTTGTTTTTTGAAGATGTACTAAGAGAGTCTCAAAACAAATCACATACGCAGTGCTAAAAATTCCTTATGTTCACCTGACCATTTTTTTTTGCAATTTGTATGTGCAGATTTACAAACCTATATTATTGATTATTGCCGTTAGATAGTATGAGAATTATAACATGTCCTTTTCCATATATCACCCCGAGACTCCCATATGAGCCCATGAGGCTAGCTATTCCAGGGCCCATATGGAAAAGGACATGTTAATATATATTTATCACATATTAAACAAATGCTTCAAGAAGTAGAAACAATCTTATCATTCGGCCTGTCAAGGTCCGCCACTTAAATAACACCATTATTAAGATGCTCCCCAACCGTTCAAAACTATAGTCCTTGAATATTATGATGTCAATGTCAGCTTTTCTTTTAGTATTAGTGCTTCTTATTTCTTCAATACCAGTTATTGTGCCCTGTTGTGAAATCATAAGCGTAAAAACAACAATAACGTCATAACAGGACACAATGACCGGTTATTTGCCCAGTGTGGGAATTAAGAAATTATTCTTTCATGCCATGCTCTATGCTCATTTTAACATGGGGAGTCATTATATTTGTTAATATCTTTATACCGAGCGTTAGCGAGGTGTAAAATGTTGACAAATATAATGCCTACCCATGTTAAAATGAGCATAGAGCATGGAAAAATAGAATTATTTCGAATCTAATAGGAAAATTTAGAACTTAGGTACTTCGAAGCGGACATATAATTCGCGTTCAAAAGGCATTCATTTTGATTTGATGAAGCCAAAACGTTATAGAAAATCAACCGTTTCACGATAAACAAATGAAAAGATACATGTAAACTTACTTTTAGAATGATTTTATTTAATTTCCTAGCGAGCCACACCAAAAAAAAATGTCAATTTTGATATCCGGCGTTGTTCAAAACACAGCTGACGTTGCTATTTCAATTGTGACGTCAATAACGTGCAGCCCATGTTTTAATGGAATTAGAACATGGCTTTGTTTCCAAAGCGAAAGAAGAACGTCATGTTAGAATATGACTTCTGCAAGTCTGCAGTTATTGCATATGCAAAATCCAATGTTTTCGTAACACATATGTGATAAATGTGCATATTGAAATGAGATACCGAGTAAACATTATGTGAGCTACGTTTTTATACATTATATTACCAAAAAAACATTAAGAGGTAATATGGTAATATACACTAGAAGACAAATATAAACCTCAAAAACATTTTCAGGATTATATTTGAACTATACTCGTATGCCAGATTCCTATATGTTGCGCTAATTTTAATCAGAATTTCAGGTAGAACCTACAAGAACAAGGTGTTTTTTCATATTGGAGATTCAAAAATTTGGTCTGATGCACAGGTTGGTATCTATTATTTGAAGAAGATGAAGCTTAAAATAAAAACAAATACTATACCAGGGGCGGTATCAAACTGAATAATAATAAGAAACACTAACAACATAACAGTAAAAAAAGACAAACAAAGTCGTCAAAGCATCACAATAACATCAATATTGAGCAACACTAGTCTAGCGTTACTTTTAAGTATGGGGAATTCCTTTTCTCTGAATTGGAATTTTACGTAGAAGAAGCACGCCTCTTATGTATCAAATTATAAGCCTGTTATCTTTGGTATGTTTTTAGTAAGAATTTACTTCCACTAGTTGAAAACATGCTGATTATAATCCGAATATACCATTAATTCCTTGGTTTTCCAGCCTTACAAATAGTGCAAAATCCGGATACCATTAATTCTGTGGTTTTCCTGCCTTACAAATAGTGCAAAATCCGGATACCATTCATTATGACAACACGTAAAAATATACAAAAGGTCATATATATATATATACATATATACATGTAACTGGTTAAAGCATGAGTTTATTTTTTAAATTTTATAATCAGTAAAAGTGATAAAGAATGATAAGTATATGTCGGAGGGTTAACGGGCTTTAAAATATATTGATATCAGCAGTAAAATTATGGAGCTATGACTAGCGAGTGTTGTTTTTCTTATCATATTATCAGTGCATTAATACATGTTTAAAAATATGTCCGTTTTTTGCTCTATGTAAAATTCCTGATGTTGCAATGTGTTTTCTTTTAGGACTACTGTGGCAGCTTTGGTATGAGACTCGCAACTGTTAGTAACTTTAACGAAAACGAGTTTCTAAAATCTGTTACTAATTGTAAGTTACTATGAATTTATCAACGAAAAATAAACGAACGAACTCAATATACGATTTCGATACTTAGTTTGTAAAAAGAATTTCTCGTGCGATTAAGTCGTACAAAGACATATATAAATATAAGAATTAATATGATCCGTTCATCCTATTTCGACTCTTCAAAATTCAAGGATCTATCCTAAATTGAGGTAAATTATATGGTCTTCCAAATACCGTTTCGATTCCTAACATCACTGAAGAGAGATTAATTGTCGAAATCCGGATATGGTGTACTAATTTTTGCACCTTTTGTTAGCGGTATACCATCTTTTCCGCAAGTTTATAGTTTTCTGTTTGGTATTAAAATTAATAGTGAAAATCCATTTTGTTACATCTGGTGATTCGTTTATTTGGGGATCGCCAATGGCAGTCAGCAGGGTTCAAGAAGATCCATTGTTCGACATGCTAGTCAAATGCGTGTTGTTAAAATATACTTTTTCACTTTTTTGGTCTTTTGGAAAATGTTGTTTGTGCTGTATTTAGACCACTCTACCTAGAAATTTGTTTTGCATGCACTCATATAAAAATTGTGGTTTTTATCCAACGCAATCATAGGTTTGAACGTTGTTTTCAATTTAGACTTGTTTAAATTTTTTCGTTTGGGCTTGTATTGTATTTTCCTTCGGGTTTATGTGATCCGTTCATCCTATTTCGACTCTTCAAAATTCAAGAGTCTATCCTAAATTGAGATAAATTATATGGCCTTCCAAATACTCTTTAGATTCCTAACATCACTGAAGAGACATTAATTGTCGAAATCCGGATATGGTGTACAAATTTTTGCACCTCATGTTTGCGGTATACCATCAATAATTTTAACAATACAGTATTGTTAAAATTATTGACACTGACGAAGGCTATTTGTTAAGCCGAAATATTTGTCAACACGATTTATAACATCATCTTCGTATTTTACCATCTTATATTAGTACCGTTGTGCATATCTTTAGACTTTTATAATTTTTTCCTTATCTGCGCAGTATCGTCTATTCTAGAGATCCGTTACATATTAAATTTGCTGGTTGGTCCTTTTTATAGACTTTTCCCGTTTAAATGGTTTTACACTAGTAATTTTTTGGGGCCCTTTTTAGCTTACTGTTCGGTGTGAGCCAAGGCTCCGTGTTGAAGACCGTACTGTGACCTATAATGGTTTACTTTTATAAATTTTGACTTGGATGGAGAGTTGTCTCATTGGCACTCATACCACATCTTCTTATATCTATATTCTATATATATATAAAAAAAACTATAACACTAACTACCATACGTTTCGGCCATTACAACCTTTTTCTTTGGAATTGAATAACAACATTCCCATATTTTTATCGAGAATAATATGCATACATATTAGTTATGAGTATTTATAAATTAGTATCATCATGAATTCAAAAGCATACCAACTACACCCCTTCTTGACAATTTTTTTCTATTATGCACTTTCATTAATTTTCTACCTTCGGACGGAGCAAATAAAAAAGAAATGACAGAATAATGGACATTCTTAACAATATGGTAAAAATAACCTTGTACTAACTGAAGATAATGCTGAGTTATTTTATCACCCTGAATGTATTTATAAAAAAAAGTGTAATTATGCTTTCATCAACGTTATCTGGTCTTTGATGGATACTTTATTTCATTGGCAAGCCTACCATATCCTTATATTGTTAGATTCTCCATATTTAGGTATTATTGTATTGGTATAGACATAATAAATTAACTGAATTATAGGACAAACGAGACGATGGCAATTTCACCCTCAAGATGTACTTGTATTCGATACATAAAAAGTGCGTTCAAGTTTCGATTATAATTAAATACGAATAAATTAAGCTAGGGTACCTTATGAAGATGTTCGGTTTTAGTAAAATATAATCTAAATGATACAAAAACACCAGGTGCAAAATTATCTGACCATAGACATTTATGTAACACTATTTGATTAACACATATCATGACTTTAAATAAAATGTTTTGTGTAGACTTTAATCGTTAACACAAAGAAGAATGTCAAAGCAGTTCTCTATCGAAATTACGTCTTATAAAGAATGTGAATAGAATACATTAGAGAATTAGAGAATGGAAACGGGGAATGTGTCAAAGAAACAACAACCCGACCAAAGGGCCAAAAACAGCCCAAGAATGAAATGGATGTTCAACGCATAGAGAACACCCAGCACCCGGAGGCGGGATATAACTGGACCTTATAATAATGGACGTCACACTTACCTCCATAACATACAAACGAAACCAAAATAATAATAACAAAAAAAAATCGCACAAGATTAACAAAAGCTAGAGGGTCCTTGTAGCACAAAGTGTTATGTGTATGGATGTTTAGTGCAGATATTTACGAAGCACTTCATAAAAATAAATCCATAAAAGAAGTCTAAAATAAGAACTTACACGCAGCAAGACACTAAAAATTCTAAATAGAAATCATATTCGGACAAGTAAAATGATTATCTGTGGACAACAGTATAGAAAGTGTTGCTGGAATTTTTTTGATGCATATATTTATCTATGGGTATCACATGTAGAGTATTATCTGCTAACCCTTGTGGAGCACCGGAGATTATTCCCGACTTTTGATGGGGTTTGTGTTGCACAATCTGTTTTTCTATAATGTGCTTTGTTTACTGTTGTTTGTCTTTTGCGTCGATTTTCGGTTTTTATCATGGCGTTGTCAGTTTATCATCCACATATATGAGTTTGAATATCCCTTTGGTATCTTCCGCCTTTCTTCTACCCTTTGTCGTAAATAGAACCAAAACATTGAAGCATATATCTCATATTGATAATGTTTCAAAAACATGGACCACAAGCGTGATAAATTACTAATCCAGGTTAAATGGTTCTTTCCTCCAACAGTCTAACGATTTTAGATACGTACTGCCTTCTATAATTATAAATCAATTAAATCTTTCGATGAGACGTCATGAAAACTATTAGAGTGTTATTAACGATTCTTCTGTTTTCTTGAGCGAGATCATGCATTGCTAGTTGTTTTTTGTATTTGTTTTAACATTTTATTCTTACCCCAAGGGTTGATCATAGAAAAATAGTCATCCATATATTTCATCTGTATGAAAGTAAAACCATATCAAAAATAGTGCCTCCGTTTAGCTGTCCAGAATGTATAAATAGGCAGCAACGTCCGATTGGAAAGGAAACGGTCATATATAGAGTACCAGGTGATCTGTTGCAAGTTAAAATATCTGCACCAATCCCAAATACCTTAAGTTTCCAGACATTCCTATCCTTCATCCCGGTCGATCCACTCTCCAGAATATTACTTATTGAATTTCTTGTTAATTTGTTCTCTTGCTTGATGGTCATGAGATGTTTGCCAATCGACGTAAAGTAAACACCAGAAAAGAAAAAGAATCAAAGTTTTATTTTAGATCCGGTTGGAATATGGTTCGGAGGCTCAGATTCATTGTCTGAAGGAATTTGGAGATGGAACAAGCCAACACGACCTATGACTTTTTATGATTGGGGTTCGGTATCACTTGTTTCACAACCAACTTGGTTGACCTCCAGCAACTGTCTAGCATACTTTAATTGTGATCCATTCGGCACACAGTATCAATGGGTAGACCAACCATGCTTTTTTTCGTATCCCTTTTTATGTGAAAGGTAAGATTAATAGTATTAATACCAGACACAATATATGACTTAATAATGTAACTCCAAAACCAAAGTATATTAAAGGGCGAACATGCATTTTATGTGCCTCCCGCAAAAATTTACACGTTTTACAAACCTGCTCGTGCATTTTTCAATGTTATTCAACGCAAAATAATTATCTAAGATACCTGGGACGATCTCATTTCACAAAGGATTTCTATTGTCTAATTATTGTTCCTCGAACTTAAATACCCGGTGTAGGTCTTTAAGTTGAGGTTCAATTTACTAAAAGTTAATCGGGCATGACTAATTAGATACGCCCTCTTAAAATCAGGGGGTCCGAAATAGGATCGGGAAATAACACCCAGCAAAATACCATAATTTACAATTTTAGAAAAAATTTGATTCAAAGTGCTTTTGGTTTCTTTAATATCTCCATTCAATAATCAATCGGTGGAAATACTAACCTGTCCTGAACCGAGAGATGTTGGCTGCAATAGGAATTTATTTAAATGAAAAAGTCCATATCTCATTTACTTAAAGTTGCCGTTATTGTTTGTAAATTCATGACGTTTTGTTTTTTGCCATTCGTCTACCGTGGAGAAAAAAGAGGGAAGGAGGGCTAATAGCTTAGCTTACGACTTCGATCATGATTCAACTGTATTCTATTACGGCATACGTTTTACTTCTAGCGAACGCTCTGCCTTATTGTAAAAAGTGCCACTTTAAAATTGTAATCATTTGCCTCAGGTCGATCCACTTTGCATCTCGTCGTAAATATGCATGACATATTTGCCACTGGACATAACAGGAGCAATTAATTAATCAGCTTCATTAAGTGACGTATAATCATTTGGTTTCAGTAAATAATCGTCACCCATGGGGTGACTGGGGAATAGAAATATGGTCACTTGGTCTTTTTCTGACCGGCAGTAAAACGCTTGCCAAAGTGGGGCGTCCGTTTGGCTGTGCGGGATATATCAAGTTTGCAGCCACGTCCGGTCAGATTAAGGACGTTAAATCCGATGCCTCGTGTACAGGAAGTGCCACGCTCTTTGCACGTTAAGAACCATTGCAACAACTCTTTGATGGGTCCGTAGGTGGCCTGTTGCAAGGCCAAAATTTCTGTCCCTATCCAATATATCCTCATTGTCCAGTGGCAATCCAAATTTCCCCGACCATCATCCCAGATGGTCTCTATTATTACAAAACCTTCCTATTGTATTTATTGTTAACTTGTTTTCGTCCTGAACATTCATGAAATATTTGCTACTAGACGTTAAGCAACCAACAATCAATTA